TGAAACCCTGTTGATTGGTTTCTTGGTTTGTGACCATGAAACCCTGTTGATTGGTTTCTTGGTTTGTGACCATGAAACCCTGTTGATTGGTTTCTTGGTTTGTGACCATGAAACCCTGTTGCTTGGTTTCTTGGTTTGTGACCATGAAACCCTGTTGATTGGTTTCTTGGTTTGTGACCATGAAACCCTGTTGATTGGTTTCTTGGTTTGTGACCATGAAACCCTGTTGATTGGTTTCTTGGTTTGTGACCATGAAACCCTGCTGATTGGTTTCTTGGTTTGTGACCATGAAACCCTGCTGATTGGTTTCTTGGTTTGTGACCATGAAACCCTGTTGATTGGTTTCTTGGTTTGTGACCATGAAACCCTGTTGATTGGTTTCTTGGTTTGTGACCATGAAACCCTGTTGATTGGTTTCTTGGTTTGTGACCATGAAACCCTGTTGATTGGTTTCTTGGTTTGTGACCATGAAACCCTGTTGATTGGTTTCTTGGTTTGTGACCATGAAACCCTGTTGATTGGTTTCTTGGTTTTGACCATGAAACCCTGTTGATTGGTTTCTTGGTTTGTGACCATGAAACCCTGTTGATTGGTTTCTTGGTTTGTGACCATGAAACCCTGTTGATTGGTTTCTTGGTTTGTGACCATGAAACCCTGTTGATTGGTTTCTTGGTTTGTGACCATGAAACCCTGTTGATTGGTTTCTTGGTTTGTGACCATGAAACCCTGTTGATTGGTTTCTTGGTTTGTGACCATGAAACCCTGTTGATTGGTTTCTTGGTTTGTGACCATGAAACCCTGTTGATTGGTTTCCTGGTTTGTGACCATGAAACCCTGTTGATTGGTTTCTTGGTTTGTGACCATGAAACCCTGTTGCTTGGTTTCTTGAAGCAAGCTGCTACCAATTATCTTCTCTCTCCTCATCCTGGTCTCTACCGACCTTGCCTCTGCTTCTAGGCGCCATAATATCATCCCAAGCATGCAACTGCTCTTGTAAAGTGTTCGCTACGCATTTCTCCTGCGAAACTTAAAACATGAATTTCTCCAAAGCACTGCAACTCCCAGCCTTCAAGTGACAACAAAAAATGTTGTTTGGGGCACCTGACATATATAAGTATGTAAGACAATGATTCTTGAACCTGGGAAAGGAACCACACGAGATGACAATCGAAAAAATACCCATCCTGTGAGTGGTATTGCAACCCATGCCCATCCTGTGAGTGGAATTGCAACCTATGCCCATCCTGTGAGTGGAATTGCAACCCATGCCCATCCTGTGAATGGTATGGCAACCCATGTCCATCCTGTGTGTGGTAGTGGACCTCTATATAAATTTTGTGAAAGGCAGTGAATCCTAATAGGCCTCCTGTGAGAGGAAATTATCAGAGGAAATCGCCAAGCCATTACGATTATATAGCACTTAGAAGGGTTCAGGATAAGGATTTGGGATGGGAAGTGAGGGAGGAATGGTGCTCAATCACTTAAACAGTCAGGGATTGAACGCCGACCTGCATGAAGCGAGACCGTCGCTCTACCGATGCGACCAAGGAAGCAGCTTGACCAATACTGGGTGGAAGCGAGCAGGGCAGAGACTTGACCTGACCTGACCTAACTTATCTTAACCTAACTTGCATGAAGCGAGGCCGTAGCTCTACCGTCCAGCCCTTCTTGGTTACATTAAGTTTTGTGAGAGTTAATGGAACCAACACCAATCCTGTGAGTGGAATTGGACCCTATATCCATTCTTTATATGGCAGGACACCCATCATGTACGGTGTTGTGGAAAAGATCACAGACATAATGGGTTCAGAAACGATCCCAAAAATTCCATTAGCTTACTAAGCTACAGCATTAAATAACTAGTCCCATAATTCATTAGTAAATACTTGAACCATTTTCTTTTTTTTTAAACGAACGTAATTATTATATTTGCAAGTAAATTCATTATAATTGCAAACATAATCATTAAATCACTGTAAACGAAAGATCGCATAGAGAACATATTTAGAACATAAGGTGTTGTGGCCTAGACAAAGCTTCACATAGACTAACCAAGACACACGTCACCCCAGGGAGGCATCACCACCAGACCTTGGTTAGGGGTCTCTTTTAAACGTAAATCAAAACATCATAATTTCGTTTCGAATAGAGATAAAACTCTCCTTGGTCCAGTGCTGAGTTGGTTCCTCTCCTTGATCCAGTGCTGAGTTGGTTCCTCTCCTTGATCCAGTGCTGAGTTGGTTCCTCTCCTTGATCCAGTGCTGAGTTGGTTCCTCTCCTTGGTTCAGTGCTGAGTTGGTTCCTCTCCTTGGTCCAGTGCTGAGTTGGTTCCTCTCCTTGGTTCAGTGCTGAGTTGGTTCCACTCCTTGGTCCAGTGCTGAGTTGGTTCCTCTACTTGATCCAGTGCTGAGTTGGTTCCTCTCCTTGATCCAGTGCTGAGTTGGTTCCACTCCTTGGTTCAGTGCTGAGTTGGTTCCTCTCCTTGGTCCAGTGCTGAGTTGGTTCCACTCCTTGATCCAGTGCTGAGTTGGTTCCTCTCCTTGATCCAGTGCTGAGTTGGTTCCTCTCCTTGATCCAGTGCTGAGTTGGTTCCACTCCTTGATCCAGTGCTGAGTTGGTTCCTCTCCTTGATCCAGTGCTGAGTTGGTTCCTCTCCTTGATCCAGTGCTGAGTTGGTTCCACTCCTTGGTCCAGTGCTGAGTTGGTTCCACTCCTTGGTCCAGTGCTGAGTTGGTTCCACTCCTTGGTCCAGTGCTGAGTTGGTTCCACTCCTTGATCCAGTGCTGAGTTGGTTCCACTCCTTGATCCAGTGCTGAGTTGGTTCCTCTCCTTGGTCCAGTGCTGAGTTGGTTCCACTCCTTGATCCAGTGCTGAGTTGGTTCCTCTCCTTGATCCAGTGCTGAGTTGGTTCCTCTCCTTGATCCAGTGCTGAGTTGGTTCCACTCCTTGATCCAGTGCTGAGTTGGTTCCTCTCCTTGATCCAGTGCTGAGTTGGTTCCTCTCCTTGATCCAGTGCTGAGTTGGTTCCTCTCCTTGATCCAGTGCTGAGTTGGTTCCACTCCTTGGTCCAGTGCTGAGTTGGTTCCACTCCTTGATCCAGTGCTGAGTTGGTTCCACTCCTTGATCCAGTGCTGAGTTGGTTCCACTCCTTGGTTCAGTGCTGAGTTGGTTCCTTCCTTGTTCCAGTGCTGAGTTGGTTCCACTCCTTGGTTCAGTGCTGAGTTGGTTCCTTCCTTGTTCCAGTGCTAAATTTGTTCCTTCCCTTGTTCCAGTGCTGTGTGGGTTCCACTCCTTGATCCAGTGCTGAGTTGGTTCCACTCCTTGATCCAGTGCTGAGTTGGTTCCACTCCTTGATCCAGTGCTGAGTTGGTTCCACTCCTTGGTTCAGTGCTGAGTTGGTTCCACTCTTTGATCCAGTGCTGAGTTGGTTCCTTCCTTGTTCCAGTGCTGAGTTGGTTCCACTCCTTGGTTCAGTGCTGAGTTGGTTCCTTCCTTGTTCCAGTGCTGAGTTGGTTCCACTCCTTGGTCCAGTGCTGAGTTGGTTCCTTCCCTTGTTCCAGTGCTGTGTGGGTTCCTCTCCTTGGTCTGTGGAAAATTTCTACCACAATTATAGCATAACATGTCTGAGTAACATGGGCTATGAAAGCACACGGACCAGGCATGGCAATTTATAGAATAAGCCAAGATCTCCCAAGACAGAGAGAGAGATTGTTAAGTCAGTAAAATTCGACCATTTTGTGAACACCATCCAAGAAGGCCTCAATAATGATTCCATATCAGGATATGTAATTACATCTAACACTATAAGCATACCATGATAATACGCAAAATAAATGCGTATAGTCAAGAAATACTTGTTTAGCCAAATAAATTTGGTTAAGGATAGTATAAATAGATCCTTAAAACAAGCAGGGCAATGATAGTTGCCTTCGGGTGTGTCGCATGTGTTTCGAAATGCTCTCACTTTAGTAAACAAAATTCCTGCCCCTTAAGGATAGTCTACGATGTTCAAGCTGCTTAATTGCCGCCGTTTAACATCCGTGGACCTGTAGAGTGGTGACAACTGAACATAACATATCTATAATAAACAGGACATTTTTTTTTAAGTTTTATAAGTGTGTGTGTGTGTCTTCCCTTAAAACCGTGAGAGGAGTGTATGGACAGCGAGGCCACAGCCGTTTGGCCCCCCTTTCTCACACACAGAGGAGTGTGCGTGGACACTGATGCCACAGACCCCTCACGCACGCACACAGAGTAAACAATACTCTGCCACAACAGCAAGACACTATTTTAAGTGATACAAGTGTGTGTTTTGCCATAAACTGTGAGAGGAGTATGTGATCACACCATCACCACAGCAGAGATGCCTCACACCCTCACGCACAAGTAAACAATACTCCTCTGCCTCGTGGGAACATTCCATGGTCGTACACGCTTAGTTTGAGCTGTTTTACAACTGTGGACTCCTAGTCTGTGGTGTTAACTGTTCATAAATGTGTATGAACATCAAGGCTCTATATTTAAGGTGAAATAAGTGTGTCTTACCATAAACTGTGAGTTTAGTGTGAGCAACACCTGACATGTGAAACCAGAAGTCGACAGTGTCAACAACCCCACTGCAACATAGTAGTGAACCACACTACAAGCTCTGGGCCTACAAGCGGGCTAAGTCTTAATACTATAAGACTGAGCTCTGTACCTGCATTTTAATGAAGTAAGGGAGGTTGGTGGTGTAGTAACAATTGAAATTAGATCCAATTCTTTGTGCCACTAACACCATTAAATTGTAGGTGCGGTTATAACCATGAGCTTACGAGCTCACCTCAGTAAGTAAATTACTTGCCACTAAAATAAAAATTTATTAGCTAGGTTAATCAATATTTAACAAATATTTTATACATTGCAATTGTTTAAAAATAAATTAAAGTATACATTTGTAAAAGATAAATTCATAGCATAAAGAATAAAATAATCTTGTCATAGTTTATAATATAATTTACATGTGGCAAGATGCAAGATCAAAAGGAAAGTCTAAAATAATTTGCAACCGTATCAGTGCTGCTGCATTATACATGTTACTTTTTACCAAGTGGTAAAGTGGTGAATTTTTCATTCAACACTTTAATGAAGGCAGCACCATACTTGTTGGATCACTCTGAAAGCTAAGCCACTTAAGGGAACTAGAGAATAGATACAGTCTACTACCCCACGAAGAAAACACATTTCCTAGTGGCCACTAGATATGACTACTGTCACTGTAGACATTTAAGCTGCTTAAGTTGGTAGTTAGTTCCTTATTTAATGGAGTCAGAAATTAAAAATCCCACATGGTCCATTGCTGAGTTGATTCCTCCCCTTGGTTCAGTGCTGAGTTGGTTCCTCCCCTTGGTTCAGTGCTGAGTTGGTTCCTCCCCTTGGTTCAGTGCAGAGTTGGTTCCTCCCCTTGGTTCAGTGCTGAGTTGGTTCCTCCCCTTGGTTCAGTGCAGAGTTGATTCCTCCCCTTGGTTCAGTGCTGAGTTGGTTCCTTCTCTTGGTTCAGTGCTGAGTTGGTTCCTCCCCTTGGTTCAGTGCTGAGTTGATTCCTCCCCTTGGTTCAGTGCTGAGTTGGTCCCTCCCCTTGGTTCAGTGCTGAGTTGGTTCCTCCCCTTGGTTCAGTGCTGAGTTGGTTCCTCCCCTTGGTTCAGTCCTGAGTTGGTTCCTCCCCTTGGTTCAGTGCTAAGTTGATTCCTCCTCTTGGTTCAGTGCTGAGTTGGTTCCTCCCCTTGGTTCAGTGCTGAGTTGGTTCCTCCCTTGGTTCAGTGCTGAGTTGGTTCCTCCCCTTGGTTCAGTGCAGAGTTGGTTCCTCCCCTTGGTTCAGTGCTGAGTTGATTCCTTCTCTTGGTTCAGTGCTGAGTTGGTTCCTCCCTTGGTTCAGTGCTGAGTTGGTTCCTCCCCTTGGTTCAGTGCTAAGTTGGTTCCTATTCTTGGTTCAGTGCTGAGTTGATTCCTCCCCTTGGTTCAGTGCTGAGTTGGTTCCTATCCTTGGTTCAGTGCTGAGTTGGTTCCTATCCTTGGTTCAGTGCTGAGTTGGTTCCTATCCTTGGTTCAGTGCTGAGTTGATTCCTCCCCTTGGTTCAGTGCTGAGTTGGTTCCTATCCTTGGTTCAGTGCTGAGTTGGTTCCTATCCTTGGTTCAGTGCTGAGTTGGTTCCTATCCTTGGTTCAGTGCTGAGTTGATTCCTCCCCTTGGTTCAGTGCTGAGTTGGTTCCTCTCCTTGGTTCAGTACTGAGTTGGTTCCTCCCCTTGGTTCAGTGCTGAGTTGGTTCCTCTCCTTGGTCCAGTACTGAGTTGGTTCCTCCCCTTGGTTCAGTGCTGAGTTGGTTCCTCTCCTTGGTCCAGTACTGAGTTGGTTCCTCCCCTTGGTTCAGTGCTGAGTTGGTTCCTCCCCTTGGATCAGTGCTGAGTTGGTTCCTCCCCTTGGTTCAGTGCTGAGTTGGTTCCTTAGACACCTAATTTCCCTGCACTTGCTCCCCCAGACTCTCTCCCCAACATCCCCGGGCGACAGTGATGACCAGGATGGTGAACGTTCTTTAGAGTTCCTCAACAGCTAAATTAATTATTCAGAAATAATAATAATTTGATTTTACATTTTATATGAGCTTGGACAAGAGACTGAGTTAATTAATTATTTCCTCAAGGTACAATCTGAAAACCATTCGTAGTTTTCCCATATAGTCTACGAAGCCCTGAAGCAGACTCAAGGATGTGTACTCATCACGTCCTGAAGGATGTGTACTCTTCACGTCCTGAAGGATGTGTACTCATCAACATCGGGCGCCTGACAGCTGGGTGGACAACGCTTCGGATTCGTAGTCCTGAGGTTCTGGGTTCGATCCCCGGTGGAGGTGGAGACAAATGGGCAAAAAGTTTCTTTCACCCTAATGCCCCTATTACCTAGCAGTAAATAGGTACCTGGGAGTTAGACAGCTGGTACGGGCTGCTTCCTGGGGGTAACAAAAAGGAGGCCGGGTCGAGGACCGGGCCGCGGGGACGCTAAGCCCCGAAATCCTCTCAAGATAACCTCAAGATAGATCAACTCCTGATGTAACGTATCGGATATTAAAGCGGAAAGAAATTAGTAATATGGTGTGGAGCAAGGGGTGAGGGAGGTAGAGAGGTGTGAGGGAGGTGTGAGGAAGGAGTGGTCTGGGGAAAGGGAAAGTTTAGAATGGGAGGGAGAGAAGGAGATCAAGGAGGGAAAGTAGAAGAACAGAAAGTAGGAGTGTTTGCATTGTAGAAAGATAAAAAGGTTGAAGAATGAAAGTTGCTGTCACCATCCATTCAGGTTAGTTAGCTATAAGACAAGGAGTGGAACTTGTCTGTACTTTAAGCTGCTGTCAAATGTTAGCATGTATCAACTGGAATCATGTACTTGTATACGCAAGAATCTTTAAGTCAGTAAGCTCAAAGGGCTCTCTACTCTAGCTTTCAAAATAAGAAGTTTTAGGAAACATCATTAATCAAGCAAAAATATAAATATTTAACATTAGATCTTCACTCATATGGATGTCATAATTCAAACAGCTAAACTTTACGTTCACTATCTCGAGATTAATATACAATGTGAGTCACCACACAAGACATTGAGGACGCTATGGCTGACTGCCCTGAAAATCACACAACACCTTAAGTTGGAGACACACCAAATTTGTCACCTTAAACTTTACTCACCAAAATCTTTAAGCCTAAGTGTGATAGAGAGAGGGGGGGGGAGGACTACAGTTGACAGAAAGAGTCCCCACCCGGCCTGACAGTCTTTTCTGGCTGCGGCCTCGCGACAAGCGTGCTAACTCTCCCTCCTGCTCAATGGCAATCCTTCTGTCCATTCTGTCTTGAATGTTCAGTTCCATGGGTATTTATGGCAGAACCGGGGGTTAAGCTCCACCTACTAAGTAGATAGCCTCAGGCGATCTACCTACCACGCCTAACCAGCGGCTTGTTTGATGGAAAGATACCACCAATCGTCTGCAATTATCGGCTTAGCAGAGAGCAAGGTCATTTCACATGACCTGACCCGAAGGCAACCTCTGACCGTTAAATCTCTAGATGTGATTTCTTAATTACTTAAGATAGACAGTCTGGCGCCTCAAATATCATGTATAATTGACTCTCGTACTCTGGTTATAACAACCACACACAGGTACTCTGGTTATAACAACCACCACAGGTACTCTGGTTATAACAACCACACACAGGTACTCTGGTTTTTTTTTTTTTTTGAGATATATACAAGTGTTGTTACATTCTTATACGGCCACTAGTACGCGTAGCGTTTCGGGCAGGTCCCTGGAATACGATCCCCGCCGCGAAGAATCGTTTTTTCATCCAAGTACACATTTTACTGTTGCGTTATAACAACCACACACAGGTACTCTGGTTATAACAACCACACACAGGTACTCTGGGTTCTGGTTATAACAACCACACACAGGTACTCTGGTTATAACAACCACACACAGGTACTCTGGTTATAACAACCACACACAGGTACTCTGGTTATAACAACCACACACAGGTACTCTGGTTATAACAACCACACACAGGTACTCTGGTTATAACAACCACACACAGGTACTCTGGTTATAACAACCACACACAGGTACTCTGGTTATAACAACCACACACAGGTACTCTGGTTATAACAACCACACACAGGTACTCTGGTTATAACAACCACACACAGGTACTCTGGTTATAACAACCACACACAGGTACTCTGGTTATAACAACCACACACAGGTACTCTGGTTATAACAACCACACACAGGTACTCTGGTTATAACAACCACACACAGGTACTCTGGTTATAACAACCACACACAGGTACTCTGGTTATAACAACCACACACAGGTACTCTGGGAATAACAACCACACACAGGTACTCTGGTTATAACAACCACACACAGGTACTCTGGTTATAACAACCACACACAGGTACTCTGGTTATAACAACCACACACAGGTACTCTGGGTATAACAACCACACACAGGTACTCTGGGTATAACAACCACACACAGGTACTCTGGGTATAACAACCACACACAGGTACTCTGGTTATAACAACCACACACAGGTACTCTGGGTATAACAACCACACACAGGTACTCTGGGTATAACAACCACACACAGGTACTCTGGGTATAACAACCACACACAGGTACTCTGGTTATAACAACCACCACAGGTACTCTGGTTATAACAACCACACACAGGTACTCTGGTTATAACAACCACACACAGGTACTCTGGTTATAACAACCACCACAGGTACTCTGGTTATAACAACCACACACAGGTACTCTGGTTATAACAACCACCACAGGTACTCTGGTTATAACAACCACACACAGGTACTCTGGTTATAACAACCACCACAGGTACTCTGGTTATAACAACCACACACTGGTACTCTGGTTATAACAACCACACACAGGTACTCTGGTTATAACAACCACACACAGGTACTCTGGTTATAACAACCACACACAGGTACTCTGGTTATAACAACCACACACAGGTACTCTGGTTATAACAACCACACACAGGTACTCTGGTTATAACAACCACACACAGGTACTCTGGTTATAACAACCACCAAAGGTAATGTGGTCAACAAGCATGTAAAGGTAGTTTTTATTTATTTAGGGAAATAATAGTTTCAATCAGAAAATATTGCTCACAACATAGAAGGGGAAGCTATAACTATCGTGACCATCTGGTAACTAGACGAAGGGACTTTTAAGCATAATTTTCGACAACATTTTTAATATCTGTGTTGTTCTTTGTAGGAAAACCCATTGTAACGAGAGACTTTCTGTTGTTGCAGGAGTATTGCTGCCTGTGGCCAGGTCCTCGGCCAGCATCCTCCCTGGAGGCGTCACAGAGCAGGCTATGAGTGACAATACCCACCGTGCTTCTCTGGTGCAAGCCGCCTACAAGAACAGCCTGCCTGTCTACGCGCAGTCTGGGTTGGTGGGGGACGCGGAGGGTGAAGACCTAGCCACCACAGCTGACGGAGGAGTCTCCTGTCCGCCCGGGATGTGGTGTTCGAACGGATCACGATGTGTTCCCCAGAACGCCACGTGCTCCGGTCTTGCTGAGTGCCCAGACGAGTCGAACGAGGCCGTCACTCTATGCGGTGAGTGCCAGAGTGACGCAATGCTTCTGAGTGCCTTTAGAGTACTGGCTACCATGTTACTCTCTCTCGTTCTCTGCTCATTTCCTCAGACCTTTCGTGTTCTTCAATATTATTTGCTATGGTGATGATTTAGAAGAACAAGAAACTGATTAAACATCTACTCCTTACATTTCTCCCACTACAACATATATATATATTCACGTTTCCACACATTACATACCAAGTAAGTAAGTAAGTAAGTAAGTAAGTAAGTAAGTAAGTAAGTAAGTAAGTAAGTAAGTAAGTAAGTAAGTAAGTAAGTAAGTAATTATCAAAGAAGGCAACAAGCCGGGAACAAGATGGTTGTTATAGCACCATCAAATGTGTGGAATAATCAGAGGGTGCTAAATATCACTAAAGATGTCAATACACGAGCAGAAACGCGTAAGGCGAACGATATCAAAAGTATCCGATTCACCAAAAATTCTATCGAGGGAAAAGTGACCGCGGGGGACAGATGGAAAGCAATCACACGCTCGTCCTGAAAGTCAGGACATTCGAGAAGGATATGCACAACTGTAAGAGGGACAATGCAGTTAGGACAATGAGGAGCAGGGCGGCTCTAAATTAAGTACCTGTTAGTTAAGCGCATATTGCCAATATGTAGCCTTGCCAGAGCAGTTTTCCATCACCGGTTACAGTGGTAGGAGCAAGGCAACAGGGACACACTACCTTTAAGAGTATGCAGGTTGTTACCAACAACAGAAGACCAACAACCCTGCCAACAGGTAAGGATGGAGGAATGAATAACTAAGTAAAAGTCGGAATTAGGAATACCTTTACGGGAGAAGCACAAGTGCGGATAGCTTCCTTAGCGGCAGCGTCCGCACGCTCATTTAAAAAGACACCAATATGGCTGGGAACCCAGCAAAACTCAACTGTCTTAAATCTACTGGAGATAAGAAACAGCCAATGTTGAATCTCGACGACCACCGGATGGACTGGATGGAGTCTTAAAAGACTCCAGAGCCATGAGGGCACTGCGAGAGTCAACTACAACCACAAAGGAGGATTGGCAGCAAGAAAGCAGGTGACGAAAAGCATAGCAATAGATTCAGAGTTGGGGGGCGAGGAAGAAAGCGATGCCTTCTTACCCGCTGGGGAGGAGGAAGGAGAGGAGCCAGGCTTACGTTTCTGACTCAAAGAGACAGGTTTTCCAGCAGCAACGTATTGGGCGACAGACTCAATGGTCTCGGCAGGAGAAGAAGAACGGGAGTGAACAACATGAAGATTGCTGGGAGGATGATGGACATCAGCCTGGACAGACAGGCGGCATGGAGGAACAAGAGATTGTGGGGAGGGTCGGGAAGAAGGATCGGGGGGAGAAAGAAAAGAAGACACAGGAGACATGGCGGACAGGGAAGAAAGGGTGGGAAACTCTAGAAGGAGAATCAGGAAGGAGACCTTCCGAGACAGAACGTAAAGGAACAGGGGAGGAGGTGGTGGGATTGTCCGGGTCCATGGCCTGAAAATGGTTGTAGGACTGAAGAAGGAGGGAAAGACGAGGAGAGGAAGAACGCAACATTCGAGCATAAGATATGCCAGTGAAAGGGTGGAGACGGCAGACTTGGCGTATCGCTTCAGGAAAAGTTAAACAATCCTGGTATTTCAAGTTGAGGAACACTTCCTGAAGCTTGTAGTGGATACACACGCGGGAGAAGGTAGGGTGGGCCTCACTGCAATTGACGCATCGAGCCTGGGGAGATGAGCAATCTGTCTTAGAGTGGCTATCGTCCCCACACATGGGGCATAGAGAAACAAGACTTGTGCATTTGACTGCACCATGCCCGAACTTCCAGCACCTATTACAAAATCTAGGAGAGGGGATGTACTCCTGAACGGAGCACCTGGCACCAGCAAGAATGATAGAGGGCGGAAGGGACCTACTATCGAGGGGGATTTTCACAACTCGAAGGGGCTGACAGCAGCGACCACAAGGGGGTCGAGTGAACGTGTCTACCTGGAGGACAGGATAGCCTTGGGCATCAAGGATATGTTAAATATCCTCATGGCAGTCTTTTAGGTCCCTAACACCAGTTGCAACATGGTGCGGGATGAGAACAGTGCCAACACTGACATTTAACCAAGCGTTTTTGGAGACGCAAACAGGGGTGTCCCCAATGTAGGACAATGCGGCTAAGCGGGTAGCTGCATCCGGTGTAGGTGCAGCGACGACATGTGTACCTAAATGGGTGGGGTTGAAAGTAACAGAGGCATCCACCGAATCAACAAGGTGTTTATGGAGTGAGAAATCTTCAGGAGCTGTAGAATCCAGAGGGAGGAGATCAAAGTATTTAGCCCATGAAGCAGGATCAAACAAGGCTTGGTACGTATTAGTATGGGAAGGGATCGTGCGAGTGCAGCCGTGGCGGGGACGGCGTTGAGAATCTTGAGAGAGAGAGAGAGAGAAGGGTTAAAATGTGCAGTAGTGACAATGAGAGACTGAACCGTGCCAGGGGACGAGGTGGTTACCGCTGGGAGCGTGTGGCTCGACCCAACTACAGAGGAGGGAGGGGACCCGGGGGGGAGTAGTAAGGAGGGTCAATGGAGGAGCTAGGTCAGGGCCCAATGTAGCTAGGGCTACAGAGCTCGGTCTTCCAACACAGTCCGACTCGGGGGCTTGGTCGCCCACCCCACGAGCCTGAGAAGTCATAAGAGAAACAGTATTCAGGGACATGAAAACGAGTGGTAATAATTTCATTCACGAATGTGCCCCTTCCTTCACCCACCACGGAGCCACAATTAAAGGATAGGACACGCAACAAGAGACATATTGCCGATCTTGCCAGGGCCCCCTAGGGGTGCGTCGTGTGTATACACCCTACAATTGCCACCTTAAGAACCGTCAGTCCGTCGAGTTCGGGTTCAGTGATGAAAGGAGGATTGACAATAAAAGCCCCCCCTCGCTCGAGACGTTGGGTACTACAGTTCTATGGGTGAGAGAGTATGCTTCCCCAAACACCTGGGCATAAATACAGAAGAAATCCAAAAGAATAATCAAGACTGGCAAATGGTCGGCGGGATATGACAATTAGTAAGGGGGAAGAGGGGGAGGGGGAGAAAAATGAAACACAAGGAAAAGAAAAAAGACATCTGGCAAACTTGGTAAGGACAGCAGCAGGAGCATAAGGCCTCAAAAAGACAGAGGACTGACCCATGGAGCATCACACTTCGGCAGCTGCCCACCAAGCCCCCTGACGAGGACAACGGGCCAGATACGGAGGGGATTACATACCAAATCTTTAAATGTACCTGTTTCCACATATTATTGTGTGTGTTTCCAATACAAGCGAAGGCACACTCCACCTCTATCACATGCTGGAGGGGTCCATCACATGATATTGGGGTCCATCACATGCTGGTGGGGTCCATCACATACTATTGGGGTCCATCACATGCTATTGGGGTCCATCACATGCTATTGGGGTCCATCACATGCTATTGGAGTCCATCACATGCTATTGGGGTCCTTCACATGCTATTGGGGTCCATCACATGCTATTGGGGTCCATCACATGCTATTGGGGTCCATCACATGCTATTGGGGTCCATCACATGCTATTGGGGTCCATCACATGCTATTGGGGTCCATCACATGCTATTGGAGTCCATCACATGCTATTGGGGTCCTTCACATGCTATTGGGGTCCATCACATGCTATTGGGGTCCATCACATGCTATTGGGGTCCATCACATGCTATTGGGGTCCATCACATGCTATTGGGGTCCATCACATGCTATTGGGGTCCATCACATGCTATTGGGGTCCATCACATGCTGGTGGGGTCCATCACATGCTATTGGGGTCCGTCATATGCTGGTGGGGTCCATCACATGCTGGTGGGGTCCATCACATGCTGGTGGGATCCATCACATGCTGGTGGAGTCCATTACATGCTATTGGGGTCCATCACATGCTATTGGGGTCCATCACATGCTGGTGGGGTTCATCACATATTGGTGGGATCCATCACATGCTGGTGGGGTCCATCACATGCTATTGGGGTCCATCACATGCTATTGGGGTTCATCACATGCTGGTGGGGTCCATCACATGCTGGTGGGGTCCATCACATGCTGGTGGGGTCCATCACATGCTATTGGGGTCCATCACATGCTATTGGGGTTCATCACATGCTGGTGGGGTCCATCACATGCTGGTGGGGTCCATCACATGCTGGTGGGGTCCATCACATGCTGGTGGGGTCCATCACATGCTGGTGGAGTCCATCACATGCTGGTGGGATCCATCACATGCTGGTGGGGTCCATCACATGTTATTGGGGTCCATCACATGCTGGTGGGGTTCATCACATGCTGGTGGGATCCATCACATGCTGGTGGGGTCCATCACATGTTATTGGGGTCCATCACATGCTGGTGGGGTTCATTACATGCTGGTGGGGTCCATCACATGCTGGTGGGGTCCATCACATGCTGGTGGGGTCCATCACATGCTGGTGGGGTCCATCACATGCTGGTGGGGTCCATCACATGCTGGTGGGGTCCATCACATGCTGGTGGGATCCATCACATGCTGGTGGGGTCCATCACATGCTGGTGGGGTCCATCACATGCTGGTGGGGTCCATCACATGCTGGTGGGGTCCATCACATGCTGGTGGGGTCCATCACATGCTGGTGGGGTCCATCACATGCTATTGGGGTCCATCACATGCTGGTGGGGTCCATCACATGCTGGTGGGGTCCATCACATGCTGGTGGGGTCCATCACATGCTGGTGGGGTCCATCACATGCTGGTGGGGTCCATCACATGCTGGTGGGGCCCATCACATGCTGATGGGGTCCATCACATGCTGGTGGGGTCCATCACATGCTGGTGGGGTCCATCACATGCTGGTGGGGTCCATCACATGCTGGTGGGGTCCATCACATGCTGGTGGGGTCCATCACATGCTGGTGGGGCCCATCACATGCTGATGGGGTCCATCACATGCTG